TTTCCAGGGATTTATACATCAAAATATACATTATGTATGAACAGATATACTTATGTTATTAGAATGGTTATCTAGTGTTGCCCAGGACCAAATAGCTGTTATGTTTACCTCATTGTGTTCACCTTTGACATTAAATTATATTTAATTTTGTTAAAGCATAGAGATGTGCATAGATGCACAAATATTTTTCTCTCCCTCATTTAAATAAAATATGTTACTTTTCAGGTAAATAGCATGTGTTTGGTATTATTTCAAAATTATTATAAAATAAATTCATTAACTGTTTTACCTTCATAATGCTGTCAAAGGATTCTTTAACAGCTTTTTATGAATAAAATAAATGGATGATTCATGAATAAAATAATGACTGATAGACATATCTATCTATTATAAGTGAAATATTCTTTTTTGATAAAGGAAATCTCAGGTCAATTTACGAACAATGATGTCTTATAACTATTAAAACTTTTATATGATATTTCATATGTTCAGGAAATTTTAAAAAAAAAGTACTTCCTGGTTGAAATTCTTGTTTATTTTCCAAAAATGTCAGGGGTTAATATAAAAAATCAAAATTTAAAATCCTTACTATTCAGATTGACACACTGCACTCTTCCCACTCCTGTTCATCCCATTTAGCCTTGTGTCATACTCAATTAAGCCTAGGAAATATAATTAACCTGTTGAACCCTAAGACCTGACCATTTGCCAATATACTATCCCTGGACATTTTGGGTAATTTCAAGATTTCAGAACTGCTTGTATAACAGAATAAATCAGCAGTTAAAAGCAGCAAATGGTTGATACAAAGTTACTTTCATTGATATTTTGTCTAGTTCTTTTTTTTAGTACTGCTCAGTTATTGCTTGTCCTGTTTCCACTGGACCTATGGGACAATAGCCTAGTGCATTAAAGTATTGGTTTGTGTATTTGGTATCATAGTAGTCAATCCCTGGGCTGGGCAGTGTGTACTTAGATTCATTGAAAATAGGACAAGCAATAACTGGGAAGTACTAAAAATTAAAAACTAGATGAGATGTCTCTAGGCATGGGCAGTGGAATCAAGAACAGTCTACTCTCATAGATTAAATAAAGGGTTCAGTTTGGAATTCCCTGTAGGTTACCTGGATTGATATACACCTGAAGAAAGCTGAAAGACAAAATGGCTGAAATGTGATAACAACAAAGATGAGTACAATAGTCCTATTAACTTTATTAGTTGCTTATTCATTTTTGTACTGCAGATATGTTTAGAATTATTAAAAAATATTCCTTTAAACCCAAATCTGTTACTGTTTACAAGAAATGGTTACTTTTTGGCTGAAGATGATTAAAACCTGCAACATTTTAAAAAATGACTTGCATTTACAGTTTGTGTTGGGAAACTAATTTTTGACAAAATGTTTTCTTAGTCAAAAACAATGAATTTTTTGTTCTGCATAGAAAGCAAGGAATTTTTTTTATTAATTATTTAATTTAGTTATTAAAGTTGAATATTTTCTATAAAATGCAAATTTTAATCTCCTCTCGCTTTATATTGGGTATTGATTATTATATATTTTTCTTTTAATACCTTTGTCCAAAATTCACTAGTGACAGTACTGTTAATTCAAGTGACACAATGAAGAGTTGCTTATTTCTTTGAGGACATTTGCATGAATTTAGTAAAAGATACATAAATCATGAAAGAAGAGCTTTATTTGAGAAAAATTGACAGTAATAATCTTAAGACTCTTCTTGATACATGTACTTAATGAATCTGCCTTAGCGTCGATGACTTTAATATGAGGTCTGAATTGTTGACATGCCCAAATCAGATAATCTTTATCTATTTTGGACATTGTATTAGTTATGATGGATTTCAGAGCTTTTATAGTGTTATGGGGGTATATTGATTGACTTCCCCCTTGACTACACTCCATACACAGTAGTCCAACAAATTCAGGTCTGTGGAGTTAGGAGGTCAAATGTTTGGGATAAAGTGATCATGGAGATTGTAACTCATCCATTCTTGGGTCATCTTGACCTTATGAGACAGTGCAGAGTCTTGTTGGTAGGTGTCTGGTCTTCTTTTGCTCACACTTTCTGGCCAAGGCCTCACAACCCTTTCCAACACCTCCTTATAGTCAACGTTAATCCTTAAGCCAAGAAGTAAAGAGCCATGAAATCTGTCTTGTTGCTCACTACTCCCAAAACCCTCACAGTTGCTGAAACATCCTTAGGTCTCTGCATAACCATCTGTCATTCCTTCAGTTGACCTTTTGGTCCTGATTTTTTAATAAGAGAAAAACTAAAGGATTCAAGGCTTTTGATGTTTCACCTTGCTCAGCAAGAGCTTTGTGAGGATCAGACTTATCTTTTGTCTTTGCAGACATGAATTGGCCTTGTATCAAAGGTCCTCATGCACAATTTTTCTAATAGAGTACCTTGAACTCCTTAAAAATGGCATTAATTAACAATGGGATTTTTATTAATAATTTTCTGCACCTTTCATATACATTTTGATGTTTTGGTGGTATTAGGTCCCTTAGCAGGTATTTTATGTTTGGCTATTGTTGTAGAATTCACATCAGTGGCTTCCAACTCTTTGCAAACTTTGACAACAAATGACCATGCAATTTTCAGGAAGTGAGCAATCTCTCAATCATGATGCTCATTAAGTATTGATTACAGCGTGCTTTTTCATTTGCTGAAGGTTGATTAGGTTGATGCTTGTTGTCATTTATCTGAAAAGAAATGATTGTCAGAACATGTTAGAAAAAAAGTTAGTGCTATTAAAAGATGTTTCCTGAAAGAACTGAGTAACTATGTATCAAACAATCTTGCATTATAGTATAGTAAACATTTATGAATGCTAGAGACTGGTTCTACTTTTAAAACATTAAATATCTTAAATTTCTAAAAATTAAACTTTGCAAACTAACATACATCATCTGATAAAAAAATCTATCTTTCACAATATTCACCTGAAACTCTAACAGGATCTATGTACTTAGGATCCCAGGATTTTTCAAAATAGCACCTTGGCTCCTCATCAACTGAGTTGCATGTGCAGTATTTACAGTTGCTTCTCTAAAATGTTGGACCAATAGCTATTTAATGCAATCTTCATGTTCCTGCTGCATCTTTTGCAACATGAGTAATGTGTTTGTATTCAAGTATTTGTAAAGCAGCAGGCCTATGATCAGAAACAAAACTACGAAATCAATCTTGGATATTTGTGGTTGTTTTCTCATTGTGAATGTTATAATTATTGATGTGTTCTTGAGTGGCTGTTTGTTAAATACATTGCAGATAGTGATATTTACTTTGTGTATGTCCTTGCAAGATAAAAATAAAATGCCTAGAGTTAGCATTGGATGAAAAACCTGCAGTAAACAAAAGCTTTTGTGATACAGCTGTTTCCATTGTGTTTCTAAGTAATGATAGCTGCTTTGTATTTGATTATGTCAAACTAGTTTTCTTGAAAACATATTGAAAAGTACTGTCACAAATATTTTGCAAAATGGATCTTGTGCATATATCTATATTTCTGGGATGAGGTATTGTAACTATTTATACTATTTATATTGTTTGGGCTGTTGTCTTCATCTTTGTTATCATATTCACAACATTTCAGGCATTGGCCACATGGATAAAAGCATTGGTTGTAACTTGACCTAAAGAGTTGTGAGTTCACTACCTGGCCACAGCAGATGTGTACAAAAACTTGTAGAGTTGAGCTAAATGGTAATAACTGAAACTGAGATATCCAGAAGAGTCATGGCATGTGGAACTAGAACAATCTATCCTGGTGGATGAAATAAAGGGTTCAGTTCGAAATTCCAATCACTTGAAGAAAGTCAGAGTGTATGACAGCTAAAACATTGTGAATATGACAACAAAGATGAGGACAACAGTCTGAACAATGTAAATAGTGTAAATGGATCTTGTGCAATTGACAAACTGTACAAGTTTGTCTTCTGTTGAAAGAAATGGAAAGTACTAGTAAGACAACAAGAAAGAAAAAATATTTATGAATTCAATTTTATTTCAGCTGATTTGATTATATTCTGGAATAAAATCTTGACGTCAGTTGTTTCTCAGTTTTGGCAAGAAAATAACTGATGATAACAAAAGCCTCTTACGTTATGTTGATTTTGAAAGAATGTAAATGTATGGTCCAGTGTAAATGAATTGATTAAGTCTTTCTGTTTGTATACTAAAAACATCTCTCTTCCCACTGTGACTAACATATGTGCAAAATTCCTAACACAAGAAAGAACAAATTTGAATAAGTTAGTAGATATTTTAAGTCAACCATAATATTTTCCTTGTAAAAGTTAACATGTCTCTATCTACTCAGCATGACAAACTTGTTTTTATATTATATTTGTGCTGTAAAATATTCACTGGGTAAGAGAATGCAAACTAGAAAAATGTCTGCTCTTGTAAATAAATACTTATTTTGCTAAAATGCAAACCATCTTGTTAAAATATTTTCTTTGTCAGAGTAGACATCTCAAAATGTATTTTATTTTATCTATTAATATTGCTTTGCTCATCTCTGCAGATTTAGCATGTGTAGATTACGTTATTCTTAGCAATAATAGTGGTCATTTGTACTGATAACTAAGGATGTTGTAATTAAAAACATCACCCACTTCTTTATGCAGCTCTACCCTACACAGTTTTATATTCAAGTATGTTACACAGCTCTTCAGTCAAGTATGTAAAGCAGTTCTTCATTTAACTATGTCACACATTTTTTCATTCCACAAAAGTGCAAATAAAATAGTTTAATAAATATTGAATGTAGATTTTGAAAAATCTGTTGTTAATTTCAAATATATTAATTTATATAGGGAACATCTACATGGGGAAAAAAATATACATTTGTTGGATTTCTTTGCAGTTATTTTGGACTATTTTCATTGTTTAAAATATTATGATGACTGAAACAAAATGGTTGTTATCAATTCTTGGCTGTTCTCTGATTTTACTTGTTTTTGTTTTTACAGGAATGCCACAAGCCCCCTGTTATTGGGCAGGATGTTAATGACCCTCGATTTGTATGGTACTGTACAAGATGTGTTAAGAATTTGGAGAAAATGGTAAGACTCTTTGATCATGGTAATTACTCAGGATATCTGTGTGTGTGTATATATGTATATGTGTGTGTATGTGTGACACAAATGTTTGTTGACCTGTTCTGCTAATTAATTAATCTCTAACCATTTAATAAAAAAAATGGCAAGAAGAGTTACTGCCCTTGTTGCTCACCCTAATAAAAAAAAAAAAAGAAAGAACAAACTATTTTATTACAACTTCTATTTTCTCTAGCTTAGGTTTTTTTCTTGTTCTAAATTCTTATTCTTTCTTGTGTCCTATTTTTTATTTACTTGCTATTTATGTAAACCCGTGATGTGATGAATAGGATTTATTAAACAAATACATCAAAACTTCCATTCATTCTTATGATTATATAAAGGAGTTGCTGAAAAGTTTTCAGCCTGTCCCATTTCCCAAAATCTGACCAAATGACCAAACATTAGATTTTTTTGAGGGGCTTCTTACCAGTGTTTCCTCATATACAAAGTCTGATCAAAAAGTATTCAGACTGTTGCTATAGTAACAGAGCTAATGTATGCAGAGTGAAGCCATTTGGCATAGATTGATCGTAAACTCTGTTGCACATACACATTAAGTTATAATGTTCTTGCTCACTTTCTTTGTTTATAGCAGTGTTTCAAAGGAAAGAGTGTAGAGTATGGTTGTCTCAGCAAATCATAGAGTTTCCATCAGTGACCATGGCTTATGCAGCAGTTTATGACCAACATTCCCAAGTCCAACAACCACCATATTCCCCAGACCTCATCCTTTGTGACTTTCTCTTTCCAAAAATCAAATCCTACTTGAAAGAAACAAGATTTCAAGACATGAAAGAAATCTAAGGAAATGCTTGTTATCCCAAAAAAGGAGTTCCAGGAATGCTTCCATGATTGGAGATGATGCGGCATAAAGTGTGTGACTTCAGAAGGGGACTGCTTCAAAGCAGATTAAATGCCGAATTGATATGTGTTGTAGTTTTCTTTTTATAGCAACAGTCCCAGTACTCTTTGATCAGACCTCATATATAGTGACACAGTAATTCTGAAAGTAGGTGAAAACCATAAAACAATTATTACAGTTTTATCTCAGTACTTACTTCAGACCCAATATATATTGGTAAAGTTTCAGTTTTTCTGATCACTGCTCACTGATTTTATTGTTACTGCCTCAGTTTTCATCATTTCAACAAATATTTCTGGTCTCAGAAATAAAATTTTTAATGATATTTAAGCACTATATTTTGTGATTTCCTAATCTAGTATTTGTTTGTGCAAATTTAAACATTAAATCAGTATGTTGTGCATTTCATGTAAAAACTGTTTAATAAAATGTTTAAACTTTAAAGAAACAAAATAAAAGAGTTTAGTGACAGAATACTTTTAAAAAAATTATTTTACTTACAAATTATATTGAAAATTTATCAACTTATTTATTTAATAAAAACTAAATTGTCTTGTGGTTTGACTGGTGAATTTAAAATTTTTTTCTTAACAGAATAAATCAATTTTATTCTGTTTTGTCATTTATGCATGTTGTGACACTTAATCATTTGCATCTTTTCCTACCTTTTTGCTCACAGTCAACTGAGATTTTTTTTCTTAAATAACTTTCCTGTCTCCCCTGCCTTCTAATCAACTTCTATTGATGTACTTTGCTGAAGGAAATAAAGTTAAATGTCAACAGTAAATCACTCCATTATTTTTTTTATTTTCACAGCTAAAGAGCTCCTTTAGGTTTCTGTATAAAATGGTGATACTGTTGACAAAATCATATAAGCTGTTTCTCAAAGACAACAAATCACAAATACTTCAAGAAAAATGATTGTGGTGATAATATATATTATAATATACATCAACTTATATATCTCTAGTAATTTTGCAATAACCAATTTTGTTTGTAAAATAGTATACTAAAAATTATCAAAATTATTATGTATTATATGTATTAAATTATTTTTAACATTTCTCTTTAAAATATATTGACACATTGTTATAATAATACCTGTGAAAATCTCTTGAAATGTTTATTGATAAAATATATATTATTATTATCGCTAACAGAATGGGTTTTTGATATTAATTTGTCTATCTATCTGCAAACACACACACACAAATTATCATCAAGATTCCTTGTTGACTGTAGCATTGTGAATGGCTGTTATTTTTCAGGAATACAAAATTTCTTATCAGTTGGTAAATGGAACAGAACTCTTGACTAATACATTTATGTAACACTAAGCAATTTTGCCTACTTCCATCACCGCCATTTATTTCTCAACCTGACTCACTTCCTAAAATCTGACTATATGATCCAACATCAGAACTTGGTGGATAGTGGGGTTTTCTTAGTTGGGCTAAGAACTTTTCAGCACCCCCTCACACACACACACACACACACACACACCTATTTCTCAAAAAGAGGCAAATCATAATAAAAATAATTATGGTAGTAGTAGTAGTAGTATTCCTAATAATAATAATAATCAAAAGGTGAAAAGTGGAGAGTTATAATGAAAGATGTAATAACAATAAACAGGCACAAGATATAATTGGGAGCTCTTCTGGAGTTTGAACCTTGTACTCTGTTGTTGCTGTTAGTGTAATACTATCAAGAGTAGTAATCTTTTCCATCTTTTATAACTGCAATCCCCTCCTCACAAATACTTAGCTATTTCTCAGTTATTAGAAAAAAGGTATTGACTGATCACAGATTTCCTGACAAAAACTTCATTAATCAAATTTCTCATTATATTAACTTATTGGTTGATTATCAAGACTGATGTATACAGATGTAGGTTCTTGAAGCATTGCAGTATTAAAAGATTGATTCTAGTGATATGATTATTCATAATCTTTAAGATGTTAGTCAGGTGAAATGGTAGCCCTTTATTGGCATTTGTAACTCTCAAAAATCACCTAATCAGTCACCGCTAAAGATGGACAGCATGAAACTAGGAGAAAGACTTAAAAATTTAAATTTAAAAATTAACATTGCACAGACTGGAAACTTTAAAATCTTCTGTAACAAAAATGAAAACATCTTTTGCTAAACATGTACAATTTGTAATGTCACCTGAGGTATAACATTCATAAGTTGAGAAGTAAAAACAATAATAGTCAACATGTGCAACCTGAGAAAACTCTATTATATATGTCATATATGCTATTTGCATGAAGGACAGAAAGAGAATAGTTTTCTTGTGGATCCTGCTTTAATTCCAAGTACTTCATCTCTTCTTTCAGGGTGATTGAGGAAAACTCAAATTTAAAAGATGTTAACTGTAAAATGTGATTTCCTAGTATTTCAAACTACAATATATAATAAAATTCATTTTTTTACCAACATGTTTTGTAAATGTAAGGATTTCATTTTGAAATATATATTTGTAACTAAAATAAAATCCTTATATTTACTTTGATAAAGTCCCTACATTGGTAAAGCTTTCCTCTTGTTTTTATTCATGTTGTCTTTTTTTACAGATATATCTGAATGTTTTTTTACACACACACACACACACACACACACACACACACACACACACACACACACACACACACACGTGTGTGTGTGTGTGTGTGTATATATATATATATAGTACTTTCTCAAGCCAACATATGCAACCGCAAAAATGTTGAAAAAATCAAAGGAAATGGTTACATTCATTGCCTTGTGTTTTTGAAGATGTGCAGTACATACGTCCATCGCAAACCATAAGAATCTGATCACAATTTAAACAATATTCATTTATTAAATAAATAGATTTCTTGAATATTACTCACTTATTTTGGTATACCAGACATTGAATTATGGCACTTTGTATCATCTACATCTATTGACTGACCTTTCATCCACCTGATGAATGTTCATGAACATTCTCAAATTTAAAAACTTTAATAAACCAATAATATCTTTGCTCTTGTGTATAAACACATGCAACAAAATAAATTATACATTTGCCTTGATAAAATCCCTCAGAGAACAAACGTGTCGGCTAAGAATATTTTTTCCTTGTCTTTTTTATTCATTTTGTTCCTTTTTTTGTTGTCTATTTTACAGATTTATTTATAATGTTTTTTACACACACACACACACACACATATATATATATATATAAAAAGAGAGAGAGAGTATCAAAAATACTTTTACAAACATTTGGGGCAGGTTCTTGACACCAAAACAAGTTAAAATGTCCATATAAACATATGTCCAAAAGGCCATTGTTGTACCTCAACATAGAAACTTATAACAATTGTTCGAAATATCCTCTGTTTGTTTCTACACACACATGCACCCATCAGATCATTGACTGGTGGACCCTTTCAAATACTCCCACATGGTGTTGAATGGTTTTGCAGGCCCCCATAACACAATGAAGTGTCTCTGCATTATTAATGTCTGCTGTATAAACCAATTGTTTTACATGGCCCCACAGATGAAATAAAGTCCCTGTAATGATGTAAGAAGAACATGGACCTACTAGACAGTCAACTATAATTCCAGCCCACACATTAATCATAAACTCATCTCAGTGTCTAGCCTCTATTGTACCAATCTGCCCACAAATGTTCGTTATGTAAATTTCTTATTCCATCTCTTCCAAATGTCATCACATCTGTAAACAAGAGTGAAAAGACAAACAATGGATCACTTTGTGCAATAAACCATCAGCAAAAGTTCTCCTATGGTGAGTGATCAGTGGATGAAAAACCCTGCACACGTTGCAAATGATACTGCTCTTGAAGTACCTTCTATGCAATACTATGAGATATATGACATGCTGGGGCCACTTGACGTGTGCTGACACATGTATCATCTCCAACAGCTTGTAGAATGTGTTCTTCATGGTTAGGTGTACGAGCAGATCTCGGTCATACTTGATCCATAGTTCGTGGTGATATGGATTCTGTCTCTGCAATGCGATGATAAACAGTAGCAAAGGTTGGATGACTTGGCTGCCTTCGATCTGAAAACACAATCTGATACAGCTGTGCAGCCTCACATCCATTACCATTATGCACGGCCATATGTAAAAATCATATCTGACTGCTCATGATATGAATATTGTGCCATTGTTAAATTGAACATTTCTCAGTTAACTCACATGTTAAATGTTGAAGACAGACTAGCTACAAATTTACATGAATGACATATAAAACCTTCTCTATATGGAAACACAGTGATACCTACTTTCTTTAAACTTAATAACTCAAAAACAAAAGATTTGCAGACATATATTCATATGGACTTTTGTTCTTGTTTTGGTATGAGGAATCCCCCCAAAGTTTGTAAAATGCATTTTTGATACACCCTGTGCATTATATAACAGTTTTTACAAAGCATGTGGTACACTTAGATAATTTGATCCAAAACAGAATGCACAAATACTTTAATCCCAAGCAAGAATGCCAATCAATGCATAAAACATCATATCATTTTTTTACAGGTATTATCTTAATTTATTATATAATTTGAACAAATTACTTAGCTTAGTAAAGCACAAGTTGATGGACATAGATATAAGATTATGCTGTACCAATCTTCCACGCAGGAAGATTTCACCATATTGAAAATCAGCATTTAAAATTCTGGCATTTTCATGTTTACTAAGCTTAACTTAGTCTGGTACAAGGCTAAATGGGGCATAGGAAGATTGTGTTGTTTTAATCTTCCAGGCAGGAAAGTTCTACTTGTTTTGAAAATCAGCATTTGAAATTCTGACTTTTAACTATACTTGAACATCTACCACTGGCACCAGTGCAGGGTAATCAACTACATTACCTACCAAGCAGTTTTGAAGCAGATTACTTATTTTTTTTTTAAAATCCCCAAAAATGTGTTAATTTGAAGTGAATATTTTAAATATTGATTGTCAAAAGTGTACCATCCAGACTAAATCTAGCTATACCCAGGAAGCCAATATTTTAGTCTTAGTAATGAATTTTCAGAACAGTGTTTGTATACTGAAATCTGAACTTATAATATACTTCCCTTGCACATTGTTTAACAATTATTTTGTACTACACAGTCAGTTAAAGCTCTTGGTAATCTAATCATGAATTGCAAAATTTTTCAACTACAAAGTGTGCTTCTTTCTTTCAAGAAGAGGTCACAACAACAAATATCATATTTGTATTAAATTGTCCAGAAAAAAAATATAATTTTGTGATTTACATTCTAACCTGTGATGTTTTTTTTTGGTGGGTGGAGGGGTTATATATGGTTATCAATCATTTTTCATAACTAGAGAAGGATTGGAAATCCCTTTATTCTTGGTCATTGTCCCTGGGTGTTCCAATTGTAGTACACAGTGCTTGATTATGGACACCTTTAGATTATCCAGTATAGCATTATAAAATGATTCATAATAATTTGCTGGGCAAATTTTGCTAGAGATAACAATAGAGAAGATCTTGATCAAAATAAATCCTTAAGTCACAAAGAGCCTTTTATGTTTTTGGACTATTGTTCATTGGTGAATGCAGCATCTGGTGAATAATATTAAATATTTATTGATGTTACATTCACTTGAAGAAAACTGAAAAACTGACCAAATGAAAGTTAGTTTTTAAAAAAAGCAACAGAGATGAGGATAATAGTCTGAAAATATCAATGACTGATAATATCTCTCATCTCAGAAATTTAAACCAAATCTTATAAGGATATCTCACAGAAAGATGATTGAAATATGACTATTATCTTTCCGGTTACTCAGTCCAAACAGCAGTCAATTGATTTGAAGTAAAGCAAAAAAACTGAGCTACTGAGCGTATTCTCTTGATCTTTGTTTCAGGCCACCAAACCCCCTAAACCAATCAAGTCATCATCTGCAGAGAGTAGTAAGTCTTCTCTCTTGTCCTCCAGTGGAAGCAAATCAAGCCGAACGGACTCATTAGACATTTTTCCTTTCCGTCGAGTAGAATCCAAAGTAAGTGAAATAACTAATATCTTAATCTAGATAAATTATGTGTAAAAAAAGAAAAAAAATTCTGCATGTTTTTGTTTTGTTTTTTTTTTTTTTGTCTCTGTACCCAACTTGCATAATTGTGTGTAATGTATTAACTCTTAACTCTTCTCCCAACTCCAATTTACTAATTGTCAATAATAATATGATTTATTATATTCATTACTTTGTTCATTTGTTACTTCTTATTGCAGATTCAGGATTTTAATTCATTTTTCTTATTTTTATTTTATTCTCAAAATAAATCTTTCTTTCACCTGACTTTTTTTTTCATACCACCAACAATTGTATTTCATTGGTTGTTGATAATCATGTGACCTTATTTGCACATATTTAAGAGAATCTTCTTGGCAGTAGAAATTTACTGTGCATGGAGAATTTGACACTCACAGGGCATATCGAAGGCAAGAGGAGTAGAGGGAAACATCAAGTAACCTACTTAATGAGCATGTATGAATGAATGACAGAAGTGGGAGTTGCAGGGATAGTAAAAAGACAAACATTACTAAAATTTACAAACGATAGAAAGTTGTGGAGATCCATGCCCACCATGTCCTGAATGGATACAGTATATATAAAAAAAAGTTATATACATGAACTCAATGAAAATGGAGTGAGCAATAATTTAGTACTAAATAAGAACTAGACAAGATATCCCTGGACATGAACAATGGAATGAGAACAATCTACTCCTGTAGATTAAATAAAGGGTTCAGTTTGAAATTTCCTGTAGGATACGTAATAGAGCTCAAACTCACAAACAAGATTTGTTTATTAACTGATCTCTAAAAGAAGCCTAGCTTATTAAATTTGTAAAAATAAAAATTAGTGTCTAAAAAAACTTTAGTGTCTTCAGTTTACAACTTTAATTATACTATGACATCTAAATGTTTAATTGTGTAGTAAATTGTGAGATATTTATAATTAAGGAACTGACAATATGTCATTAATTGCATGTTTCTGCTACATTATCATTATTTTCTACAAATCACAGAAAAGTATATTTTGCTAAGGCAATTATGAAAGAAAAATATAGCTTATCGGTTATTGCTCACAAATATATTGCCTTTATGATGTTTAACAACCCTAAAAATTACAAAAAAATTTTTTAGACATAATGTTTAATTGAAAATATATAATGTTAATGTTGAAGACTCGCATATTCAGAAATTTCCATCAAAGACAGTGTTGTCTATTTGTTAATACCAATAAAGTATCATAAAAAATGAACTCCTTGTCAATTGTTGATCATCTTACTTTTTTATACTTGTATATTAAAAGCTGATTATAATTACAGCTCAACTGGTTTTCTATTTTCTACCAGTGAATAATTTTAGTTTCTCTTTCTGTTGTCATTCAGTGATACATTTGATGTTTGTTATTTATCAGAACATTTCAGCTGGTGTAACTTGCAACCTTTCTCAAGTGTTTGTCATGTCAGTGAAGTAAAGAGTTTCTTCAAAATACCCCAAGGATAGTATATGCAATATAATTAAAGAAGTTAGGAGAGTCAAAATATTGTGAGGAAAACAAGGATAGGGATATTAGTCCAAAAGAATCATCATTAAATACCAATGTAAAAAAAAATTAATTTCAAGATTCTTGAGTCAAGTTTGGTTTAGATTTAATTATTTTAATGTTATGTCTAACAAAATTCAGCCTCTAATTTAAGAGAGAGATCAATTTTTACATTAGGAAAAAATATTTAAAGTAATGAAGATATACATGTTTATTTAACTAGAAATGCAGTCAATCGTGTTAACTATTTTGGAACGTTTTCCTTTTGTTCTCTGACAATTTTGAAAAGTTTTCCTGATATTTTATTTTAAAATTTAATATCATGTTTTAAAGAAAATTAGAGTTCTAATATTATTTATATTATTTATATTTTCTTGTTTTCATTTTTACTTGTTTATATGCTGAATTTAGTACAGTAAGTTACAAATCTACTATGAACTGGAAATCTTTTACTTTCTATATTTAATAATCTTATTCAGGGTTGGTATTGTTTACCTAGGCAGCATATTCATGATATATAGATGTGAGGTGTATATATGTATAAGTGTATGTATTTATAACACCCAGGTTCATATCTCACCTTGGTTTATTTGTTCCCATTTCCTGATGACATTGGCTTAGGTGATCCCAGAATGTGTCACTGTTAGAAAGTGTCTAAAAACTATGCCAAGGGTTGACACAAGACTTTGAGTGAAATTGGCTTGACAGAACTACTCAGAAAACATCAATAGTTGTGTTAGTATGAAGTCACAAGTCATTGGGACCAAAAATTTGAGTATACTGGCTTTATTCAAACAGTTGAGCATGCCAGTTTATAAGTGCTCTCCCAGAAACTGTAACTAAAGTCTGCTTAATATAGTTGCATTATAAAACACATTTGGGCACTGTGAGTGTGGAACAAGTACAAATGAACTTGAGCAGGTGTCTGCAACAGGGATTGTCTGCCCTTGCAGATGGGTGTTCTCGTAAACAGATAGATAGGCATATATATTTATATATATATATATATATATATATATATATATATATATATATATATATATATATACACAGGTAAAATCCATGGATAAGTAATCCAGGTAGATTTTATTAATATAAAATATTAAAACTGAAAAAAAATATATATATATATATATATATATATATATATATATATATATATATATATACAGGTAAAATCCATGGATAAGTAATCCAAGTAGATCTTATTAATATAAAATATTAAAACTGATCCACAAAAGAGAGCTCAATATATTTATTATAGAGCATATAAGTGAATTACAAAAATGAAACCCAAATTACCCCATTCAGATGACCATTTCATCCCCAGGAGAGTCTCCCTGGGACTTGAATGGGGTAATTTGGGATTCATTTTTTATAATTCACACACACACACACACACACACACACATATATATAAAGTGTGTTTACAGGATATATAAATGATATGAGTGATATTTTGAATAAACTCATATATAAGCTTGTCTATGTAATTGTATTTATATAAGAAACTAACATTTTTACCTTTTCTATATTGTTCTTTCCTGCAGATTCCTCCAAGTAGCATGGCAGCAAAGCCTATGAGTGGTCTGGTCAGTCTTGCCGCAAACTTGTCAGGGAAGACCACATCTGATGTTCTTTCCAAGTCTTCTTTGACCAAGTCCGAACAGACCAAGCACAGTTCATCATCTTCCTCTTCATCCTCGAAGGAAGCAAAATCTTCTTCTGGTCCAAAGCTGGACTTACCGGAGAAGAACTTATTTGCTGCAGCCCTCACCATGGGCTCTAAGCTACCTGCAAAGGGACCATCCAAGACATCAAGCAGTATTCAAATGGCCAATGCTGACAAACGTCTGCAGATGATGAAGAAGAAAGCTGCAGCCAAACTACAGGAAAAAAGGACATTTTTAAAATAATTTTCTCCTTAATTATTTTTTTGCTCATATTTTCTCTTTTACTTTCTATTTTTTTCTATTAAAATGCATAAAAATATATGAAATATTTCTTATGTTAATTCTTTTTTGTTAATTTAATTAACTACATTCATTAAATCACAAGTATTTTTCTTCATTTGTAATGACAGCTTTCAATCTCTTGGAATGGATAACAAAAATCTGAAACTGGTTGGTCAAACATACTTACAGGGAAGTTTTAACTTAAATTTGTTAATTCTGCAATCTTCAGGCAAAATCATCAATCATTTGGATATTTACTAAATTTAGTCTGGTAAAAGATTAAAATAGTGCAGCATCCTTTGAGAAAGTTTCACAACATGCAATTCTGAGTAAAAAAAAATGTCCCTATACAAATATTGGCAAAAGAGAAGCTTGTTTTTGATCAACTATTTTTATAGATTAAAAATATAGTTAGAATCTGTTGATGAATGGGTCAGAATGTTGAAACTATTTGAATGGCAAAAAGTTTTTGATGGCATCCTGTAATTTTTCAACTCTCAACTTTTAACACAAGATACTACTTCATTGTTGGTGTTCTTTTCATGTGTGGTACTCATAATGTTGCTTTATCAATAAATTGCTCTGTCATCTAATCAATATGGCACAGTGAATTGTTAAGTTCATGAACTTCAGTTTTAGAGTTTGTACTGCTTAATGCCCTTAGGAATAGGGTAAATCAAATGGTTACATCCTTTTACTCACTCTAAACATGTTAGCAGAATAAGACTGTCCATATGAGCAACTTTGTACAAGCAATTTGTTGCTCTTCTTTGTTGACTGATTTTGTTACAGTTTTGAAATAGAAAAAATACTCTAAATGTCAAGGGATAGTGAACCAATGTATAGGCTGATGAAAGAAATTCAAAATAATAATATTTATTATATATTAAGCCAATAGACAAAATAGAAGCATGGTGTTATCATGGTACGATTTTGTCTACTGGCTTAATATATATTAAATATTATTATTATTACTACTACTATTATTATTATATCTTTCTTCAAGGTCTTTCATTGGCATTCTATACCTAAATCACAAGAACTAGCTTTATTTAATATATATATATATATATAAAATATAATATATATCCATTGATAACTGGTAGGGATAATTCCATAGAGAAGCTGAATCCAAAGAGAGCTGAATGTAATAAACAGAGCAATATAATAATCATAATTACAGATGATCCTTAAAAATCCATTCGGTTATAATTTATTTCATGAATACAAAAATATTCATCTATTCAGACCAAAGTTTTTTTTTTTAATAAAGTCAATTTTGATTTTTGTATATGATCATTTATGTGACTTATCTGCGGCAGTTATAATCTTATATTATTATTTTATATTAATTTTTGATAATAATATCCTTATTATTTATTATTATTATTATTTTTATCCTTATATATATATATATATATATATACATATTTATTTAGTTCTTTATCTTTTGTTCTTTATTATCTCTGAATTTACTTTACATTTTTTCTATATTTTTCTATTTTAATCTTAATTTATTTAACTTACTTTATTTTATTGATTTCAAATATTATTATTATTATTAATTTGAAATTGTGATGATTATAATGTGATAAAACTGTTGAAAATGACATGAATATTAGACATTTGATTGTATCTATTTTATGTCTGATCCCTGTATTTTAACTTGTTCAGGACATAAAGAAAACAATCATTTCTAGGTCACCCTATCAACTCATGTCTAATTCTTCCTTCTTTCCTTTCTTTTCTTTCCCTCTCTCTCCCTTCCCCCTCCCTCTCTCTTACTCCCCCCTCCCCAATTTCTTTTAAAACCTTATATTGAAATTTTTATTTCTCTTTCTTCCTCTTTTAATATAAAAATCTTTTTCCTTTTTTCTTTTTTTATTTCTTTCCCCTCTTCCTTTTGTCTGGACAAATTGACTCCATTTATTAAAAAACTTCAGTCTGAAGGGATGAATATTTTTGTATTCATGAAGTAAATTATAACCGAATGTTTTTTTAAGGATCGTCTGTAATTATGATTATGATATATATATATATATATATATTATAATTATTTTTTTAAAAATATGTTTCCATCGTGAGACAATGGATTAATACCAAAGAAGTCACGAATTGGTTTACAAATATTAAGGATAAATCAAATTGTACCCTAATACTGTTTGATGCTGAATACTACCCATCAATATCAAGGGAACCTTTTGTGACTGCCCTGGAATTTGCTACTCTATACTCTGACCTCTCAGAGGAAGAAAGAAGCATAATTATGAATGCAAAAACATTTTTCCTCATTCATAATGGCAACCAATGGATAAAAAATTCTGAAGACCATTTCGATATTACAATGGGATCATTGGACTCTGCTGAGTCTTCTGACCTTGTTGGTCTATTTATATTATATAATCTAAGTGCACACCGTGAAATTAATATTAAAGTAGGTACCTCCATGAGATCGCTAAAAAAAGAGCATAGCATGATGAAAAAGACGCCAAACTTGACAAAAACAAAATTTTATCATCTAAATGTTTATGTTATTATTAAGAAGAAAGATCAAAGTTTATTTTAATTATTTTTAAAAATTTTTCCTTCTTTTTAGAGCATTCTGAATTTTGATTTAAAAATCCTTGTTTCTCTTTGTATCACTGGAACTAGTAAAATAACATACAATTTTTAGCACGTATGTTTTGGTATGACACACATTAATTTAGAAAATCATGCAAAAATAGAAATAATTCTCACATGTTAATGAAACTTTCAGAAACTATTCACAGATGATCAAAATTATTATAAATATTTTTTTTTATTAAAGTCCTGGCAGAAATATTTTTTTTATATTTATTATCACCCCCAACTAATTTTATGAAAACTCTAGAAATTTGATCGAGTCCACTTTAGTAATTACAATAGTTAAAATCACAAGGCTTTGAGGAATGCAAACCATGTTTTTTGTTTTTAATTGGACCCCCCCTTACCTGAAAATCAGCTCAGAATTGTAACATACAAAACTCAATAAAACAAAAATATTTAATTTCAAATACTTTTTTTTGCTTTTAGTTGTTTTTATGAATATGGACAATATTTTCTGAAAGCAAAAAATTTTTTCGATGAAAAATGAATTTTTAATACAATTATTTGTTATTTTTTAATTATAACAGATTTTTACATTTAGGTTGTTAAAATATTATAAAATTAGTTAAAAGCTGCATCTACTTTTGTAAGTGTCCTCATGAGATAGATCTTTTTTAGCACATTGTAAATTGTATCATTTTGACTAATCAGAAGACCTACAGTAATTAAGAAATGTAATTTTGTGTTTATATGAAATAAATGAAATATCAAAATTAGTAATAAAATGAATGGAAATACAAATAACACAGTAAAATGTAGTAAATGTTCATAAAATTATAGTATTTTATATACACTTCTGATAAAATTTCATAAGAAAGGTACCTTATGAAATTTAATCTCACTCTTAACAGTTTTATTTTAATTTCTTTATAATATATTTTCCATAAAGCATCGTAAACATAAAGGTGAAAGCTAAGTACAAAAAACAAAAAAAAGAGCGCTGAAAGTTTTCCTTAAAAATAACGAGGAAAATAATTTGTTCACTTAAATCTAAATAATTTCACTTTTCTCCTTCCCTAGAACAAATTATCCTCACGTAATATGTCATTCATCATCTGTCAAGTGATGTGAAAGGTTATGACCTGCTTTGTTTTATTTTCAAATTACATCTTTTCGGTGCAGAAGCTAAGTTAAGCTTGGTTCAAAATATTTTAAATAAACATTATAATTTCTGATTTTCTTAAAATAAGTTTTGAAAAAATAATAATTTTTAAAAGAATTTCAAACTGAGATTTTCATTTTTTTTATAAAATGGAAAAAAATGTTTGCCATGATCAATTATCTGTCAATTTTGCTGACTCAAAAAAAAACAAGATTTTTAACGAAAATTTTGGATGTTCTAGGAACAATTAAAAAATGTAAAAAATTGCCCCCAAAATACTTTGATCTTTCCTCTTAATAACATAATCATTTAGATGATAAAATTTTGTTTTCATCAAGTTTGGTGTCTTTTTCATCATGCTATGCTCTTTTTTTTTTTTAGCAATATCATGGAGGTATCTATATTAAAGATATTGGATTATATAGGGATGATGGCCTTATGGTTGTGAGGAAGTCTACAAACTTTAAAATTGATAAGATTAGAAAGATAATACATAGAGAATTTAAATGCCTAAATTTGAAAGTTACTGTTAATACAAAACTAAAAAAAGTAAACTTCCTCAATATAACTTTAGATTTATTGAATAATATATACCAACCTGACAAAAAACCTAATGCTAATCCTTTATATATACACCTCAAATCAAATCATCCTCCATCTGTAATAAAGTATCTTCATCTGTTGAAAAAAAGACTAAGTATAAATTCTGAAAAAATATTCTATGAACACAGTAGTTTTTATAATAAAGTTTTAAAGATTAGTGGCTATAAATGCCCTAACATCAGTTATATAAAAAATGATAATAGAAACCAGAGAAGAAAGAAAAATCATTTGGTACACCCCCCCCCATTCAACCAAATGGTTAGTAGTAAATTAGAACATAAATTTCTTGCTTTAATTGAAAATTATTTTCGTAGAAATGATACACTTAGGAAAATTTTTAATAAAAATACCCTAAAATTAAGTTACAGTTGTACTGAAAATTTAGAAAAGATTATAAAAAAACATAAGAAAATAATAAATACTTAAGCCTGAATCAAAGAAATAGTGATCCAGAAATAAGAAGAAACAATAGTAAGGATAAATTATGTAACTGTAGAAATCCTGAAAATTGTCCTTTGAATAATAAATGTCATACACACTCCATAGTTTACCAATTCATTATCTCATCTATTGAGGATCCTAATGTTGAGAAATTCTATATAGGATGTACTAAGAATGAATGATGGAG